AATTTAAAGAGCTAAGTAAGTATGTGTTGGTTCCATGACTAGCACAGTGGTTTCCCAATCTTGGTCAAAGCTTCTGGGAACATCGTAATATAAAGAAATAATATTTAATAGGCAAACTGTGTTTTAAATCAAGGCTGGGATTTTTCAGTGGAGCCTATGAGAGATAGAGGGACAACTCCCATTGTAATTAATTGAAAAAACCACCCTATGGACCCTAGCTCTGCATCTGACAATGTGTGCAGAGAAGTTCACTTGTGCATGTCTTTTTGCAGAATTAGGATTCTAGATGTTACAGCATGAACCAAAGCATTTGTGTTTTAATTCACCAAAAGTTGGTGGGGATTTGAACCCTTTTTTCAACAGTTTGGTGTTTCTATGTTGCTGAAACAGTAATAATAATAAATGGAGATATCCTATCTCCTAGAACTGGAAGGGACCTTGAAAGGTCATCAAGTCCAGCCCCCACTGCTTTCACAAGCAGGACCAAGTACTGATTTTTGCCCCAGATCCCCAAGTGGCCCCCTCAAGGATTGAACTCACAACCCTGGGTTTAGTGCCAATGCTCAAACCACTAAGCTATCCCTCCCCCCAGCACATCAATATAACTTTTCCTGATAAGTAAATTTTCACTTTTGGGTAACCCAGTCTATTTCATTCTTCATATGGTTTACCTGAAAAAGAAGAAAAAAATGAAGTGCATTTCAGTAACAGATTAAATATCCTAACAATGTTTTTGTAAAGAATATCAGAAAAGAATCATTTTATACCATTAATTATTCAAAGAGGTAATTGGCTGATAATGCAAACTAAGAGACTACCACTGATAAACCTCTTAATTTGCCTTTCTTCTCTGCTGACATATGAGTAGAAATCTTTTCCACTGGAGCTCAATGAAAAGCATAAGAAAACCTCTCCGAATTTTGGGGTCTCAAATAAAAAGGTCAGAGGTAAGCAAGAGCATAGGATAACTTAAATATGAGCTGAATTTTTCATGAGAAGCAATATTCTCACTGGCGATAAATAAATATAGAAATATCCTCTGTTCTAATCAGTAAGTGTCCTTATGAGTCTCAGATCCCTTTCTTACTTGGTTCTGATGGACCCATGGTGTAACTAGATTGCACAGTACACTGGGTGCTTGTGGAGTCTCTCTGTAGGCCAACATTCTCCTGTGCAGTGGAGTGTGGGATTTCTGCTACACTCCTTGCCTGCAGTGCCTGTAGGCAGGAAGCTAGAAGAAAGCAGTATTTCATCTTTTATACCTAGTTCTAAAGGCAAGACTGGGCCTAGCTATTACAGGGTGGATTTACATTCTAATCACATTTTCATTTATAAGTACTGTAATTCTTTTAATGTGTTCTTGTTCCCACTACATCTTTAAACAAAAAATGGTATTTAAGGTATATAGACTTCATGGTGCTTCTATGTTTGTGATGGTTTTTCATAAAAAGGGGCTTTTTTAAAATACCTTTTTTATAATTGTCCTTAAATCTGATTCATAACACTGTGCAAACCATTTTGAAATATCAAGAGCCACAGAGGTAAAACCATGTTGGAAATTCTTAGACTGTAGCATCTGACTTGCAATCAAATCCTATGGCCAAAATTTTCACAAAGAGCCACTGTTTTTAGGTACTTCAACTTTGGGAGCTCTACATAGGGTGCTTTAAGCCATCTTTGAGAAAGAGCTGTGCACCTTCAGCTTCCATTGCAGTTTTAGGTGCTCAGCACATCTGAATATTAGGTCCAAGGTTTCTCAAGATGGACACCCAAAAAATAGTAGCCATTTTTTAAAAATGTGGCTGCAAATGACTCCTGGTGTGAATGTATATATTCTGCCATAGTGTCCTAATATAAAAACTTGCATTTGGTGTCCCCTGTGTTGTCTTTGAGAATTTAAACTAAATCTTGAATGGAAAACTCATAATAAAATGGTGATATGTATGAACCCTTTAAACAGAAGTTTTCTCTCAACTGGTAAAACTATAACAATATTTTGTCTAGTTGTGGACTTTTATCTTGGGTTTGATTTGGCTTAAAATTTCGGTCTAGATTAAGGATTGGATTTTTCTAGTATTTAAATATGGACATATAAGTACATATATTTATGTATCTATTGCTCCTTTTGAATAGGCTGCTGCCCCGGGGTCTTCCGCTGGGAGCTCTGGGGCATGCTTTAATATGGATAGAGACTTGAGTGAAGTTAGTTCCACAACAGGAGGCACTGTTCATAAGTTAAATTAAAGTTTTAGCTATATTCAGTCAGTCCAAAAATCTTGCTGATGAATGCTGCCTATAATTTAGGGCCTGATCAAATTCCCATTAGAGTCAATGGGAGTCTTTAAATTGACTTCCAAGGCAGTTGGGTTTGGCCCTTAATTATTAGGTTTAGAATTGTCATTTAGTGAATCTGCTGCTTTACTTATACAGTATTAGGAACTACCATCAAATTTTGACAATATTACTGTGATAACTTAAGCCTGTAAGCTGCCAATAACTCATACTAAACAATTATCAAAAGGAATATAATAAAGGGAAGCTGTGAATCCTCTTCAGCGCCATGACAAATAAAAAGTGTCTGCTTTCTTTGAGGTACTATGTAAGAGAAGTTATTAATGAACTAATGTGATGAATGTTCAAAAAATGCACAGCAAATCACTGAAACTGGAATTTGAAAAAGGAGCTATAGTTGCAGTAACTGAGACCATTTTAAAATTGGAGAATGAGATAGAGGTAATATATATCTAAATAGGTAGTTCTTGTTTGAAGTGACTTGCTTCATTGTATAAGATAACTTCACTATTTATAGCCAGAGCTTGTCAAATGAACTAGTTTTCACACTATATTTTATTAGGATTAAAAATAAATCATGTTAAGAAAAATATGGTGTATATATTACACATGCTTATTACCAATTAAAATCTAGCTGCCCAGAAATAGGGCAAAATCCTAAAGTCCTTCCCATGGAAATTTTGCCTGAGTAAGGACTTAAAGGGTTGAAACATCCAGTCCAGAGCACTCAAGCATAATTATCCTGGTGCAGATGTTGTATTTTTCTAAATTATTTTTATCAGTGGTTCTGTGATGCCAGCTCCGTTATAGCTAAGTTTCCAAATGTATATAGAGGGGCCTCACGCAAAGTCCATTTTAAATATTAGTAAAACAGTAGGAATTTTATATATATTCTGTATATATCCCTTCCCCATTCCCAGGAGTCCTGTCCCATCTAGCTGGGACCTGCATCCCATTTAGCAATCTGGGAGGGCGGGATAGTTGCAACTGTCAGACTGAGAACCTCTGCTCTCCTTTAATATCTGGTTTTCTTCTGCTTGAGGATGAATTAATAGTAAATAGAGCCCAGATCCATCCAATCTTACCCCCTGCTCCCCTCCCTCTCCCCACCCCCCACCCCGACAAAAACGTTTAGGATACCCTGAATGTATTCTAGGTGTCTCTTGGAGACAACCTTTAGCCACTCCTTGGAGAGACTAATGTTCTCTGCTCTAATTCTAAAACTCTGCCCTTGCAGCAACTACCCCAGCTACACATGTGTGCATGCACACACCACAGCGCCTTGATCTTCCACAACTAATCCACCCAGACTAGTTTATCCTCTCACTCCACATTCAGTTGATGCAGACTCCATTTTTCTTGCTCTGATGCATTGTTGTGTCTGTCTGTCTCTTTACTGATCGAAATGGCTTGCAACCCCAGGATTTTGCCTTATTTCACTCCTGCTCTTGCTAGACACAACTTTTCTGTGCTACAAGTCAGGACTCTCAACCTATAGCCCATTGGAGACAGAATTAAGGCATCAACTAAATGACACTTGCTATTTAGATTCTAGCAGTGAATTTGGGGAGATGAATTGATACTCCAAAATGTCATGGAATCATTATTAATGGCTAGGGTTGTCGATTAATTGCAGTTAACTCAAAAATTAATAGCTATTAATCACAGTTTTAATCACACTGTTAAACAATAGAATACCAATTGAAATGTATTAAATATTTTGGATGTTTTTCTACATTTTCAAATATATTGATTTCATTTACAACACAGAATACAAAGTGTACAGTACTCACTTTATATTATTTTTATTACAGATATTTGCACTGTAAAAATGATAAACAAACAAAATAGTATTTTTCAGTTCACATCATACAAGTACCGTAGTGCAATCTCTTTATCATGAAAGCACAACTTACAAATGTAGACTTTTTTTTGTTACATAACTGCACTCAAAGACAAAACAATGTAAAACTTTAGAGCCTACAAGTCCACTCAGTCCTACTTCTTGTTCAGCCAATCACTAAGAGAAACAAGTTTGTTTACATTTACGGGAGATAATGCTGCCCTCTTCTTATTTTCAATGTCACCAGAAAGTGAGAACAGGCATTCGCATGGCACTTTTGTAGCCAGCATTGCAAGGTATTTACGTGCCAGATATGCTAAACATTCATATGCCCCTTCATGCTTCGGCCACTATTCCAGAGGACATGCTTCATTTTTTTTAAATCGCGCAATTAATCATGATTAATTTTTTTAATTGCTTGACAGCCTTATTAATGGCATGTCCTAAATAGCAAGAAGTAAAAGGAAGGAAATGATAGCTAGGACTATAGAACCAGGTAGATCCTCCTCTTCTTTCTTCATAGCCTAGTCCAATGTTTTGAGTTAGCAAATGTTCTCACTGATTTAGTATCCACCATTAATCACAGCACTAAGCAAGAAAATGTCAATTCACCATTTTTCTCTCCTGAAACAGAGTGGCGGGGGAAAGGGGAGGAGAGGAAGTAAACTGCTTTAGATAATTTTTCTACATGGTACTAATTACAGAGAAGTCAGACTTTATCTATGATGCATTCATGCATATACACAGAGATAATGATTAGTCTTATTTTATTTTGCAGATGCTTCAGAAAGTTGTTTGCTCGCCCCCAGTTCTGTCAACCAGCTCCTCAAGAGGGGAATCGCCTATTATTGAACTAATTTTTTGAACTAATTATTCTCCACATGGCCTTCCTCCTGGTGTCAGCTTATCTTTTGCTGACTCACACTCAGGGTGCTCCTGTTGAGAATGGGGCACTGCTGGAGACGCTGAAGTCGCAAGTAGGATTTTTCAGTAATAAAAGTGAACACTATTCTGCACAGGTGAGACCTCCTGGCACAAACCGACGAATACCTCAGACGATCATTATAGGAGTTCGCAAAGGAGGGACCAGGGCCTTATTGGAAATGTTGGATATTCATCCTAATATTGTGGTAGCAACTACAGAAGTCCACTTCTTTGACTGGGATGAAAATTATGTTAAAGGAATAGACTGGTATAGGCGTCTGATGCCATTTTCTTATGAAAATCAAATTACTATTGAGAAAACACCAGGCTATTTTACCTCACCACAGGCTCCAGAAAGAATTCATGACATGAATAGCTCTATTAAACTGCTGCTCATTCTAAGAGACCCCACTGAGAGAGTAATATCTGATTATACCCAAGTATATTACAACAGACTAGAAAGTCACAAGCGTGTTCAGCCCTTTGAAGAAATTGTTATTAAAAATGGAGCACTTAATACCAAATACAAAGCTATTCAGAGAAGTCTCTATGATATCCATATGGAAAAGTGGCTTAAGCATTTCAACTTAGATCAGATTCACATAGTGGATGGCAATACTTTAATCAAGGACCCTCTTCCTGAGTTACAAAAAGTGGAAACATTTCTTAATCTTCCTTCCAGAATTATGTCTTCAAATTTTTATTTTAACCAAACCAAGGGGTTCTATTGCATTAGAAGTGATGGAAGAGAGAGATGTTTACATGAATCCAAAGGGCGCCCCCACCCTGTTGTCAACAACACTGTTTTAGAGCAACTTTACTCCTACTTCAGAGAGCACAATGCAAAATTTTACAGAATGGTTAATCATTCGTTTGACTGGCATTAATACATTTGGAATAAATGTTTCTTAAAATATCCTGAAATAAACTATTTTCAAAGTTACCTTTGTAAGCTCTCTGGGGTAGCTCAGACTGAAAACTTCAGAAGTTGTTATATTGAAAACATAGCCTTCATTGGGGATAGTTGTCCATTAGCAGCACCCTTTAAACATGGGAGAAATAAGTTTGATATATTTGTGTATAACTACTGTGGGCCAGAATTTGATCTCAGTTTCACTGCTGCAAATCCATTAATTTCAGTGGAATAACTTCAGATTTACACCTGTATGACTGAGATCAGAGTTGAGGCTCTTTGGAAAAATGAGACTGCTTTAAGCAGTGTACAAAATGTAGATAGTTGAAATGGTATCATTCTAACTGTTCTGTAATTTTTGTTGGTAGTATTTTTTATATCATGCGCCATGATAATGACATTGATTTCTAGAACTTTCATACAGTAGAATAATGACATATGTTAAATCAGGGGACTCCAAAAGTGCTTCCTTTAAACAATTTAAAATCTGTGAAAGTAGCTATTATTGTAAAGTACTTCCTACTTAAATAACTAACATATAATAAAGGGGTTCCAGTCCAACTATGGTTTTGAATACCTACCGGCTTGCTCTGTTTTGAAGCTCCTTCTATGTAGAACATTAGTATTAAACAACACACTTATTGGTGCAAAATCTTCAAACTGGTGGAGAAAATTAACTATTTGGAGAAACTTAAAATTTTGGGGTTCAGGATGCAAACAGACAAGGATCCAAAACACCCTTGGTTTACATAGCAATATTGATCTGCTTAATAAAAAGTAAATCTGTAAACAAAGTCATTAGATATCAGCAATTGTACAAATGTTTATTTAATTACATAAGTTGTCACTTTCCTCTGGAATGGAAAACAATTTTTCATCAATACTACCTTATTGTTTGTATTTCTGTGACTAATTGTTCTATTGCTCTCTTAGATTTAGTTTACGTATCTAATTTGACACATTGTTTACTGAAAAAATATTAATTGCCTGCTCTCCAAAGCATGGAATAACTTTTTTTTGTAATTTCTATTTGCAAATCATGAGATGTACTCAGAGTTGAAAGTAATTTCATGTAACGTATATAATATGTATATCAGTCACAAGTTATCAGATTCAAGCTATCAAGTATGATTTACTCAGATTTTCTATAAAATCATGTCAATCCATATTCATGTACTAGGAATTGTTTGTTCATTATAATTTTGACAGCATCATGCTGGTCTTTTTTAGGTTCTAACCCTTCTCAAGTGTATCAATACTGAAAAAGAAAACCTACTTTAATCATTCTGGCAGGAGTTATTTTGCCAGTTACAGTTATCCTGAGAAATGTACTAGCAGTTGCATTTGGGTTTTGGTCTTAATTATCATAGTATGAAAATCTCTTAATAATAATCACCCACCAATGTACAAATAAGATACTATAGAGGGATTTTAAAAATACTTTCTATATCCATCAACAGACATGGCTCCGGGCAGGCAGGAGAGACGAAGAAAATATAGTCTTCGTGATCAGTTGGAATGTTGCTACTCAGGAACTCCAGTTTCACAGTGATAGGTGGTGATTCAGCCACACAGGCAGAGGTAAAAGTAAGCTTCTATGGTCCAGTACGGCGTACTGGCAAGAAAGCCGGAACACGGCCGACCGTACCAGCGGGGCCGCTGATGAGGGTGGGGAGTACAAAGGGGCAGTTACCCTGGGGCCCGGCAATTTAAAAGAGCCTGGGGCTCCTGGCAGCAGCTGGAGCCCCTGGCCCTTTAAATCGCTGCCGGAGCCCCAGGGTAGCGGCGGCCAGGAGCCCTGGGGCTCCCGACCACCAGTACCATGCCAGTGGCCAGAGCCCCGGGCCCTTTAAATTGCTGCCAGCCCTGCCCCTTCCACCCAAGGCCCCACCCCTTCTGGGGGCCCAGAGCCGCCCCCCATCTTGCCCAGGACCCCGGCCGCCCTGCGTACCAGTAAGTCCATCAAGTTACTTTCACCCCTACACACAGGTCACATTGGTATGAATTGGAGTTCTGCTACTCATCCCTTAAGTGTTCCTAGTACCACACTGCAGCCTGTTCTCTAGCGACCACAAACCTCCACTCTACGGAGCAATAACAGGGGATGCCTTTCTGGAAGACATAGTTTAATTTTGATGAAATTCTATGGTCTGTTATACTGCAGGTCAGAGTAATGATCTTATAGTCACTTCTGGCCCTAACATCTATTAATCTAGTGCTTTCTGCACTGAGATCGTGTGTACCTTGAAATCCAACTGAAGTAAATGGGAACTGAAGTTATTCAATCCTTCTACAGTTGGTTAGTGTGTGCTTTACATCCACAGCCAACTCCTCTGGAGGTTAAATAGAATCATCCCCAGACAAAGTTAAAGGGAAATATATCCTTAGTCAAAACTTCTCCAATATAAAAGCAGAATATTAAAAATTGTGCAGAGCAGCTTGTATTTTCAGACTAATATTTAAATTACCTACTTTTGCTATTTTTGTATATCTGTGTGTACATACAATAATTTCTGTACTAAGAGCCACTCGCTCATTCATCATTCAATGAGCTTTTCCAATTACTTTAGTTTTCTGGAGTATCAATCATTTAGTAAATCTCTGATTTGTAAAAGTGGGTAAGTACATCTGAAATGTACTTATAGACCAGGGGTGGGCAAACTTTTTGGCCCGAGGGCCACATTGAGGTTGTGAAACAGTAGGGTGGGCAGCATAGGGAAGGCTGTGCCTCCCCAAACAGCCTGGCCCTACCCCCTATCCACCCCCTCCCACTTCCCACCCCCTACCCATCCAACCCCCCCGCTCCTTGTCCCCTGACCACCCCCTCCCGGGACCCCCCGCCCCCTAACTGCCCCCCTGGCACCCCACTCCCTATCCAACCCCCCCTGCTCCTTGTCCCCTGACCGCCCCCTCCCGGGACCCCACCCCCATCCAACCCCCCTGCTCCTTGTCCCCGACCACCTCCCCCCTCCCCCAAGTATGACCAGACAGCAAATGTGAAAAATTGGGACGGGGGTAATAGGAGCCTATATAAGAAAAAGGCCCCAAAATCAGGACTGTCCCTATAAAATCGGGACATCTGGTCACATTACCCCCCCTCCCCCAAACCTCCACCCCATCCAACTGCTCCCTGTCCCCTGACTGCCCCCAGGGACCTCCTGCCCCCTTACCATGCCACTCAGAGCGGCAGGACAGGCTTATTGGAAAGCCTGGTAGGTAGGAGGGCACAAGCCACGCTGCCTGTGCAGAGGCATGGCTGCGGGGGAGAGGCCGGGGGCTAGCCTCCCCGGCTGGGAGTTCAAGGGCCGGGCAGGACGGTCCCGCGGGCCGGATGTGGCCCGCAGGCCGTAGTTTGCCCACCTCTGTTATAGAGGAATAAATAATTATGGTCCAACTTTTTTACCAAAGTCAGAGTTGTATCATCTTCTAAGGAAAGGCCTCACTGGAGTAAGGGTCTGATTAGCGTGTTCCATTGAAGTCAAACCAGAAGTGAAAACCATATTCCAGAAGAGGACATACCATTAACTTATAGCATTCATTTTTCCCCAGTATTATTTTCCATTACTTATGCATTCTAATACTTTAGTTGTACTATTTTTCACATTTTGTTTTTCTTTTGGCAAGGTTTTGATTGAGGTTAGTTCTATTTAATTGTATCAAGCAAGTGTAATGTTTTTCCTTGGTGAAAAATGTAAGTTGAAGACAAAGGCTTATTTATAGTAGTTGCGAATAACAGATGATTTCACAAGGCTGCATCAAATTCCTTTAGGCTTCTGAAAGAAAGCAAATATCTTTCAATACATTTGCCTGCAGGCATCAATACAGGGTTTTTTGTTTTTTTTTCTCTGAGGTTTACAGATAATCTTTACATGACTAGTATGCAGGAACACCAGAAACCTGTGTGCATCTGTGAAAATGTTAGTGTCTGTTTCTGAAATTTACATTTCAAGGAGTGCTGATCTATATGGATTAGTGATGCATAAATCTACCTGATTTGTCAGCAAAGTGTTCATCCATTTCTGTTCAGCAGTTCTGGGAAAAACAGCTAAGGGAATGAATTCAATGAACTCCTTACAATTTACTAGTACCAGGAGAAATATATTATGCATAGCTTAACTTTGTTGATCAACTTTTTTCATTTACCTAAACCCCTCTGAAGTTTGGATTGAGGAATCCATTTTAAAAGATCCAGTTTAACCTTTGCATTTCAGTATTCACCGGGCTGAAAAGGCTGTAGTGAAGATTGCAACTATAATTTCAGTGACAGACCCCATTTCAGTCTCCTGCAGGACTGAAATGTTCCATACATGGGCTCAGGTGAAAGGTGACCTTTCCCCCATACATATAATAGAAAATCCATGCAGCTATCTTTTAGCCATATGAAACTAAACATAATAATTTCCCCTGGTGACATAATACAATTTATTTTATATACACAACTCAAAAATGGTTCAATTTTGAAACCTGCTATTTAAATAATGCTCATTGAGGAGTATATGCACCATCAAGTGGGAGAAACTATTATCCAAGGAATTGTTAAAGGTCAGGAGTGACAAATATCATCACACCCATTCCCTCCCCCTGAAAAAAACCAACTTTTGGATCATCCAAATGCTCAGACACAGCCTGCCAGCCAGAGGAACTGCTTCAGAGACCATTTTCACAAGGGAGATTGGTTTGGAAGATTGTGCAGAGATTGTTTTAAGCCCTGCCACTAACATCAGAAACAAAAATACGGTATTGCAGAGACTGAGGATTTCAGAAGCTCTCTAGCATTCTGCAACATCCTGTTAATTTTAAGCTTTCACTTTAAATATAGTTTCCCCCCTTTTTCAGTTGGCAAGATACAGCTGTCAAAATATAAACAGCTGTGCTGTTGCCTTTTTTTAATGCAGCCTTGCAGAAAACTGTCACCAGTCAAACAGCAGCAGTCACACCAGTGTGAATTCTTTTTGCGTTGTCCCCATCTGTACTCCCATGAACTTCAAATCATAGAATCATAGAATATCAGGATTGGAAGGGACCTCAGGAGGTCATCTAGTCCAACCCCCTGCTCAAAGCAGGACCAGTTCCCAACTAAATCATCCCAGCCAGGGCTTTGTCAAGCCGGGCCTTAAAAACCTCCAAGGAAGGAGATTCCACCACCTCCCCAGGTAACGCACTCCAGTGCTTCACCACCCTCCTAGTGAAATAGTGTTTCCTAATATCCAGCCTAGACCCCCCCCACAAATGAAAGATTTTACTTTACAGCCTAACACTGAAAGGTCC